GAGAAAACAAAGATAAAATATCGATTTTAACTGCTAATCCAGTTTGGGTGTCCGAATAAAAAGAAGTGATACGAGTGATGACAAATTAGCCACGATAGCTAAATACTAAGATTTAGTCACAATTAATCACAAATAAGTATCGTGTACCCACTGAAATAGATACTCAGCGGCGTTACTACCACTCCTCTATGACCTGCTTCCAGATTCCAAGGGCATTTATTTAAGAAATTGCCTTAATTGCTAATCTATTTTGTTAACTAGTTGAGCCGTAACCCCTAAGACGTAAACTCCTTCCGTCGCCCTTACAAGGTTATATGCCATGAGTAATATCTCAATTAAAAAGGAAGTCCTGTCTTTGTCCATAATTATAGCGGAGTCCAGAACGAATAAGGCACTCTTTATGCATACATATACAATTACACCCAAATGAAGTTCAATACATGGTCCTGAATTAGAAAAAATAATAAATAAGTAGTACTTGCACTCGGAAAACTAACCTCCTTCCTGCACGAAACTCCTTCATAACGTGATCACGAGTTTTCTGATCCATATCACCGTGAGCAGCAGTTACCGCGAAGCCAACTTTTTGCAGCTTCTCCGAAAGCCAATCAACCTTACGGCGTGTATTTACGAAAACAACGGTCTGGGGAACGCAGGTAGAAGCGAAGATATCTGTGAGGGTTTCGAATTTCCACTCTTCGCCACCGGTATTGATGTAGTATTGATTTATACCTGAGAGACTCAACTCATCCCTAAAATTGGGTAATTAATGTAAAATAACATCACTACTGAAAATAATTTAAGTAGAAAAGGAAAAACATGATACAATAAGGCTAATACGTTTGCCTAGATGTGTTACGTGTCAAAATACAATACTTTCTTGACAGTGGCAAAAGAAAACGAAATATCATATTAAGGCCACTCAACAAATGCGACTTTTCGATAATAATGCGAGAGGAGCCGACTTCTGTAAACTGTGAAAATTCTACCCAATTCTCTAACCCTAATGGCTCTTTTAAGGTATCAGATTAGAAGGAGAAGCAGGTCTTACACAAAATCATGGATAAAGCTAATCCATAAAATCACTAGAAAGCCTTAGATTTGATCAGATTCGTAATGACCAAAATAGTTGAGAGGAACGATTTACACGTCAACAAACATGGCTCCCTACTTCAAAGAGAAGAGTGATATACGACGTGGCCAACTGCTAGCGAGAAAGAATCCAATCTTCAGGGAGAATGATCAACAAGGAATTGAAGAGCCTAATTTCCATTCGCTTTAAGTAGAGGGAAAGTTGCTGTAAATTTTCCTCAAGGATAATGAGCAGAGATACGATGGAGTCGAAATTCAAGGACCGAAGTTATCAACCCTTTCCTCAAACCATTTCTTTACACTCAACTAGACTAGAGTAAATGCGCACTGCTAATATAGATAAAAAGGTACATCGAATTTAATACAATAGCTCTCTTAAAACTACCTGGGAACCAGAATGCAGACAGGATTATCAAGGAACGGTTTCATGACCTCTCGACAACCAGATGTCCATGTGGCAGAAACGACTACACGTTGAGTCGCCAAACGCATTAAACCACAAGTTGAATCCACTTCCATGTTTGATGAGGGCAAACGCTTGAAGATGCTCTCAAGTTGATCACGAAGGCCCTGATTTAGCATTTCGTCTGCTTCATCGACAACGATTATACGTAAATTGGACAATTTCAAGAAGCCGTTTCGCATCAATTCTATTTGGTAAAAAATGAAATGTTTTAGACGTACAAATTTACACTACTTTGCAATGGGTTTAAATTAGTACTATTAAACCTATACAGAGTCAAGCACGTTTCCAAAGCTCATAAAAGGAACTAGTTTTAAAAGCGATGGGAACTTACAATTCAACTTCATTTAGCTGATTATTCTCAAGCTTTTAAGCAATTCTCAAGAAACAACCAAACTTGAAAACAGAAAATATAACTCGATAGACTAGTATGAAGAATAAGACACATAGACTATGAAAACAAATCGCTTGTAGAGAAAGCATAAAATTGAGGTGATTCTGCATCGAAGAGAGAACAGGAGAGTTAGTAATGAAAGTGGCATCGACAGATTCAATGTGCTCGTCTGACAAATCATAAGAGCTCTGTCCATTGGCGTGAATGGTAAAGTGCCATGGCCACTTCTGGTTAATAAGGAGTGGTGTATTACGAATGTATCATACAAGAAGCTTCCGAAGGCTTTTCATCAATCAATTTCCGGTGGTGTTAATAGCTTTTCAAATTCAACTGGGGAGATCTACCCAAGAAAAGAGAAATCGACACAATCTATGGCCAAGTTCAAAATAAATTCAAAAAAGAATTTAAGTAACATAAGAGCTGACAAAGCAGCTCTTAGATGAAGAGTATAATTCGATTGAGGAAAAGATAAATAGTGGTAACGAATATTAAATAAAATAGAAATATAACTGAGTCATGGTTGCAATCTATAAAATACTATTAAAGTGATATGCAAGCACAAAAAGGTGATAAAAGAGAAAGCTGAAAAGCAATGGGACCAAAATCAGTAAACCAATAGAAAAAAGAGAATCGGAATGAAAATCGGCACAAAAATTTTAAACAAAATAACGTAGTAAGCAATAGCAATAGCCTGAAGAAACAAACCCAGAATACGTCCAGGAGTACCAACGACGATCTGAGAGCCCTGGTTTAACGTCTTCCCCATTTCGCCTGCAGTGCCTTTCCCACCACAACAAAGCATACACTTTATAGAAAGATGGTCCGCCAAACCGGTAACTACCTAATTCAATGGCCATAAAAGAATAAACACGCAAAGAAAAGCAAGCAAACCTGATGAATTTGAGAGGCTAATTCACGAGTCGGTGCAAGAAATAAGGCTTGAGTTTTCTTATTTGATGAATCAAGGAGTTGAAGTGTGCCTATGCAGAAAGTGGCCGTTTTACCAGTACCACTTTGAGCTTGTATAACAACATCACGTTTTTTTACGATTTGACCGATTGCGCGTTGCTGCACAAGTGACGGCTTTTCGAAACCTGGAGTAAAGATTAATGAGCAGAGTTTGTATTAACCTACCAAGGTCATATATACCCCTTAATAGCTCTGATTTGAGACCCATTTTCTTAAAAGAAGAAAATATCTGAACGCTTTCAGATACGGAGAAGTCTTCATCACAATCCTCAAGATTCACTTTGGCGATATTGAACATGTCTATAAAAAGTTACGAGTGAAAAATAGCAACTCAGTAATGGTTATACCTGCAGGACTGAGTTATTAAAATAGTCCGCATCATGGTTCAAACAAATAAATGTTTTTACTAATTATTTGTCAATGAAGATATAAAAAGTATAACAATGGCTCACCCTATCCCTGCTTGTGGCAAATAAAATCTAGGACTGACCTTCAACGATCTGTGTTCCTACGTGCGCTCTTCTAGCATGAGCAATTTAAACAATAATGATTTTCATATTCGCTAAAAATATTACCTTTGTTTAGTTTAATCAGTCTCTTTTCATTTTCATCTCCAGAGACAATTTTACAATCACTAAATGCTATGGCAAAGCTCTTATTCAACGCCTTAATTAAATGTATTTCTAATTAAAATAAGTTGATGAGCGTATGAACCAATCGAGCAAAATGTCTACACATAAATTCGCTTCATAAATTGTGTAAAAGAGCTTTTTCGAGTATATTTTACATTGCATATGAATAAATTAAATGTGTTTGCTTTCGTCTTTCTACTGATTAACCATATCGGGCTGCGCGAATTTAAGAATACTTTGAAGTATGCTGTCTTAATATATATATATATATATATATATATATATACATCTGCTTTCTTTGCAAAAGCATTCAGTGAACTGATATGACATATCCATCATCGCACAAGGAAGACATGCCAGTAAAACCTTATTTTTTATAGAACTTAAGCTGATAAGTGATCGATTTGGGGGGGGGGGGGGGGGAAGGTTTCATATGGAAATGCCTTTTACCCTTTTAATGTGTGGACAAATTTATATCAAAGAACGCTTTTCTACAACTATTCTTGCCTCTAATGGTTTTAATAGGGTTTAGAAAATTGATCATTTTCTTAATGTACGCTGAATGGTTCAATGGAGGAGAAATAGAAATGGATTTTAATTTTGCGCATTTTTGCTATTGAGATCGTCAAAATACAGCTTGCAAGCAAAATTTACTCTTAAATGGAATGCTATAGACGATTATAAAAAAGTAAGATAATGTCGACTGGAAAATTTTTATTCCATGGCTATATTTGAATTATTTCAAACATATGAGTGTAAATTTAAAGAAATGACTTTCCATTAATAGTTAAATTTGAAATACTTGTGTCTTCGTAGTAGTCAACTGACCAATATAATGAAATTTCAAAAATGCATTTTGGCAAGAACTAACCAAAATAACCCGATATCTCATTTTCCAGACCATCTTGATAACTAATGAACATGAAGTAACATCCCTTTCAAAACCCACATGGAAAAATATAAACCCATTTAGATATGTGCTTGATAATGCACTCTAACCAATGATCAGCGTACTCCCAATCCTGTTATGCACTGCAGTTCGCAATGAGCTACTTCAGTAACAACTCAGCTCCTTTTTATATTCCTTATAAAGTCAACATTTTTTACTTACAAAAAAATTATTGCTTTCAATTTGAATTCACTCAAACCTATTTTTAGTTGCACGGAATCTTGTCTGTAAAATATTTGAAGGTTTTTGAAATATTACCACAAACAGTACATCTTTCACAATCTTATTTCCGGTGAAAAAAACACCCATATTTTTCCAAGAAACATTCCAATTATTAAAAAGTAGCTGCATTGATGTACGTTAGGTCAAATTAAAGAGACTTTAGACACATGACACAAACCCGCAAAGATGCACTTAGCAGATAAATCTCATAGAATTCGGTAGATGAGTAATGGAATAGTAGAAGTACAAAATATTAACAAATGCATAATTGCATGCATTCTGACTAGTCCATTTAAGTATGCTCTCCCGTTACGTTAAGTTTGAAATAGCTGAAACTTATACTTACCATTTCCTGTAACAAAATAAAAATAATTTAAACGAAGGATTCACTAACAGAAGTACAAAAGAATGCTGAAAATTCTAAATTATTTTCAAATTATAAGTATTTGTTTTAGTCACGCACTAATTTGTAGGTCGATCCGCCATTGTATATTGGTTTTCTTTTATTGTAGGTTTGCAGTTTTTCTGTTATTTCTGAATAGTTTTTTTAATATCTTTCATATTTTCTTCTTATATGTATTCTATTTATTGCTTTGATGCTATTTAAATAATTTTTTATGTTATTTTGTCTGTGTTATGTTATGTCTATGTCTTTCAGTTGCTTGTGAATCTTTTACTTTCTCTATATGTATAGGCTTTTTCAATTACTATTTCAACCTAGTTTTAGTGGTTTAATGGGACCACTGGTTGTGTGTTTTTTAGTGTAGAACTGATTTTTCTTGACTGAAAAATCAACTTGTTTGACATTGCGTTTCCTTAATGTGGATATCGTCATGTCATATCCAAACCAGTGGTCAAGCAACACCATGATTCCTCCTGGGACAAATATCTCAGCTCAGAGTGAGACACTTCAAAACACCGCTATTTTCAATCCTTTTCAACCCAACACCTCACTTCGACAGCCTTCCTTGCAAGTGCAACTTAATCAAGCCCAAAACCCAACAGGATTTTGTCCACCTGGTGCTTTTTCTTTTCTTTACCCGCCTTTCATGGCGGCCGCTCTAGCAGCACAATCAAACACTGCTGCTGTGCAGTCTGGGCAGGGTCCTCGTTTTGGTATTCCTCAGCCCTCCCCTGGTGCTAATGCTGCCGCAGCAGCTTTGAGGGGACCAGCACTTCTGACTGCTCCTACTGGTATTCAAGGTACAGTTACTCCTCAGCAACCTCAAGGTGCCCCTGGAGCTTTGTATTTCCCTGGAATACACCTCGCTCCGGCCTTTCCCGGTGCCCCTACAGCTCCATCATTTCCTCATGGGGCTCCACTCTCTCAACAACATAGTGGAAGTTTTCTTTCGTCATCTCTTCGTAACTACGAGCCGTTGAAACACTTTGGAGGTCCAGGTCCAATTCTAGTATGTTTGATCTCTTAAAGTTTGTGGTTGATTTTCTTTAATGAAAGGGTATGTCTGCGACATTTGCTTGATTTATTTTGCTATTTTTGAGTATAAGACTACTACAAATACTCACTTTGATGCCTTAAATTTGTAGTCTAATTCATATTTCTACCTTGCAAGGCTAGACTATGTTCGCTTTACTTACTTGAGGTTTATTAGCCTCCAACAAATAGTTATGAATTCTATGCCTATAATATCTAAGACAGTATCCCTTCGCTCTAGCATATTTTAAAATAATGCAAAATTTAAAAGTATTTTGCAGTATTTCTTGATTCTAATTGGTCCATAAAATAAACAAGATTGTGGTTAATAATTTGCAGTTGTTCTTTATCAAATTCCAGACATCTATATCAATCTATTTAAAGACTCGTAGCAATTAGTACTGTCTCCTAGGAATTCTTTCTCCGTTTTATTTTAGAATCACAAGAAAAACAAGTCGATGACGACATCGAAAACAAATTTGTACATAACAGGTTTGTCAGAATCCGACACAGATGAGACTGTAAGAGCTCTTGTTGAGGATGTTGTTCATCCCAAGTCCTGTAAAGCTATGCTGCTTAATGGAAAATGTAAAGGTATGTTTCTATTGGCATTTCAAAATATGGCTCTCTTTAATTTTAGAATAATCTCTGTTGCTTGAATTTAGGCTCTGGTTTCATCGACTGCGTGACTGCTGAGGATGCCGTTAAGGCCTTGAACCACTTAACAGAAATATCGAGAAACGGTGGCCGGCAGTTGGTGGTTAAATATGCTCTTGAAAATGAGAAAGATTCTTACAATATTTATGTGAGAAATCTACCCAAGACGAACTTCTCTAAGGATGCTCTTATGAGCCTCTTTACTCCTTACGGTCAGGTGACTTCGGTCAAACTACTTGAAACTGAAGGAGTTTTTACGGGTTAGTCCATTTTATACATGAATTGATATTGCTTATGAAAGAGCTGTCAGAGTAGGAACTTATTCAGTAATCGATCAATAAAAGTGTCAGCTATACGAAATAGGGCGTTAATTGGTTGGTTTGGCAAAAGGTTTAACAAATTTTTCCCATTCACATCTACTTATCCCTTAAGTGTACCTTTTATTTTAGTAAAATTCGAAATCAAGTGTTCCGTTTTTTTATAAAAGACCATTCTAGACTGTGGTTCATTTTCAAAATGTGAAATCAATGCAGCAATTTACTCCTAAGTTGTAATTAAAAATGTTTTGTAATAAGCCAAATTTAGAGATCACTTTTAATTTGTTTCACAATTAGCACGTACTTAGATTTTTTTGTCTTTGCTAAATCAACCAGTAAAAGTACTTGTGGTAAGAATAATGTCGGTAATAAAAGCGTTGAAGCTGCTCAAACAATTCCTAGTTAGAATCTCCCTAGTGTCTTCCCCTTGCTATTAGATACCATGGGCTAGTACAAATTTTGAAAATGGTCAACTTGTGTTTGAAGCCAGTATTGTCTTAATCATTGCTAAAACTTTGAAATTACTCTTCACTAGTATTCTTTTTAATATTAAAAAGATTTATATAGGTAAGCAACACTAATAATTGTGAATGCCTTTAATGATTTGATGTCTATCCAAATTTCCTTACTTCATCCTAAAATAAACCATTTCCCGGCAAAGTCTATTAAGCAGAGCCTTGTTAAGCTAGTCAGTGGTTCCTCTTGTTATTCAAACCTCTACTAATTGACCTCAGCGGTTTTAATTTGGTCTTATTAATAGGTCTTTCGAGAACTCAGGTGTGGGAGTTGAGTGTGTCGAAATTCATGTTTTACCTCAGTACTCTCACGGAATCTATATTGGCTAATGTAGTACCTACTGTAAGTAATGACAACACGTTGCCACCCTCTTTATTAGTGACAAGTGTCTACGTATAAACAAATTCCAAAGTTGTGTCAGTTTAGTTATTTGGCTGTAAAGTAATAGTCTTTCTTAATAATGCTTTTCAGGCATTGGATTTGTACGGTTTGCTTCAGCAGAACAGGCTCGTCATGCAGTGGAAAGCGTAAACGAGAAGCGCTATATTCTTTGTGAGCCTGATGTGGCCAACGGCAATGTTACTATGAAGCCAGTAACCTGCAAATTGGCTGACAAAGCGGATCCAAAACGGCGTGCTGCAGCCGTTGCGGCCGCGGCAGCTACTGCCATGTCCGGAGGAAACATTCCTCCGACTGCCGCTTCACCTTCCGCGTGCCGGCAAAACAAGTTACACAACTCTCGTCCACATGGTGTCCACGGTGGACATCCTCAGCAGCAGCAAATTTTGTCGCAGGCATCTCAGGGCGCTTTTGATATGCATTTACAAGGACAACAAGTAGCTGCTGCTGCAGCGGCTCAGAATCAACAAGCTCAGAATATGGCGAATGCACTAGCCACTCTTAATCAGAATCACCAAATTCCGCCTGGATTGATCTATCAAACCGGTAAGTCTGGTAGTTTGGGATAAGAAAGTCATTCCTTTTGCTACCATATTTGTTTAATAGGAAGAGCAATATTTATGAATAATTATTAAATAGCTTGAACAGTGTTTCTGTCGCTTGTTTTCATTTTCATTTAATAATATTAGCTTTAGTTTGTGCTGTTTTTAATTTTCTCAATATGATGTTTTTAAGCCTTTAAATTTACTAGTTATCACGCCGTATTGAATAATTAATTTGTGTTGACATTGAATTCGGTATGTCATTTGTAATTTTTCACCATTATCTGTTTGAATTGCACTCAGGTCAAGGATACGGCTTGAACGAATAGATAGAGAGCTTTTAATGTACCAATACCCTGATTTGAAACTGTATTTGGTGAATCGTACTGTAGTTGTGATTGTGGTGATAGCTCTCTACCTTAAATGTTGATGGTTTAAGAGATAGGGATGTTATCCAGAGTTGAGTCTTTAATGGAAAGTAAATATTTTTGGGACTGATTTATTTACTTACTATGGCTTGGAAATACTCATATCTAATGCTATATTTTCAGCACAGTCTAACTCTTATAAATGTAATCTATCGTTTATTTTCTTATCCTATCAGTGGCTTGTCAGGTGTCAGTTTCTTGAACCCCTATTTCTTTTAATAGCTTACCTTCTAGATTTGATTTATGTAATCAAACGTTAGTTTTATTCTGCTTTGCGATCCCAATGTGGTAAGTGGTTTATCTGTTTTAGCTTCAGTTGAAAAGTAACTTAGCCATGTGCATAATAGAATTTACTTCAACTTTTCTATCTTACTAGTATTTGCCTGTTTCCATGTACACAGTTTTTTTGTCAAAATTCTAATCGGGCTCTTTCTAAAGTTTAGGTCTAAGTTAAATTACGTAATGAAGCTTTTTGTATTTTTTCGTGTGGTAGTCTATGATTATTATGTCGGTTTGATCAATGGGAGTATTTGGTTAATGTTCAGTCAAAGGTAAGACTCTTCGTTTCTTTAGTCAAGCATTCTGTTTTAGTCAAGCCGCGGGCTTCATCATATTTGCTAATAGGGCTTTTCTTTACTAATGCTATTTAATACACACTTCTAATTTTTTGGCTAGTCTGAAATTGTTTGCTGCTAATAGTACCACTGCAAGAGCGTTTCCTTAGTTTACATTTTGCCTATATCTAACACTCACTACTCTTATCTTTAAAAGCGCTTAATCGAAATCTGGCCTTTTGTGGTATCCTCATTCGATTAGTCCTATCTTTTTTTCATTGGGTCTACAATGCGGTAGGTTTGTTTGGCTCAGGTTAGCTGAAATAATACTGCAAGTAGAACCTTAATTTTCCTTGATCTTATTGCGGATGCCATTCTTCAATCTTGGTATTTATACCGCTTGACGTATTTGGGTAAAATTATATTTTTGTTAGTTCTCACCAAAGATGAGTTGGAGAGTTAAATAATGTGAAATGAAGGCATTGGCGTTTTGATTGTAAAATTGGAAACATTGTCGTTAATAGTGAACGCTAGATGAAGACCTTTATCTAATCAGCTCGTTAGGTGACATTTTAGATGTGGGTTGTACAATTTAGCTTCAAATTTGAGTTCGAATCTGAAGCACTGTCAATATGACATTAGCTCTTTCCTGTCCATGTGATTAATTTATTTAATATAATCTTCCATTGTTGGTCATCATTTTAAAGTTAGGCATGACGACAACTATCGATTCCTCAAATATTTGCAATTATTTCGCAGTATTTCGTTTTCTCGATAAAATGACTCAATGAAACTAACTATGCAATACTTGTAATTTCCCCTTTGTCTATCTCAATATACATCATTTGAACTTGGTTATGCTAATTATCTAAGAAAAGTTCAAAGTTCATTTGACATTGATCTTGTGTTATGGAGATAATATTGAACATTTGTGAAAGCACTATTTTTTTACCAGTTCCTAATTGTTTATCTTGGAGTTGCTGTTGGTAAAGGCCTTAACTGATTGGCTTGTCGTTGGCGAGTTATCAGCTTAAAACTACCTGTTAAAATATGGCATTACTAGTACTTAAGGTAAAAAAGCTTGGAGTTTCTAAAACGGAGCCAGTTCGGGAACACAAGAAGTCGGCTTATATCAATCGACTGATTTGATATGGTCGAGTTCGTTGCTCAGAGATAATTAGTGAGTATAAAGGGAAAAAATTATAATCAGTAAAAGGAATGGGTCATCCACAAGCCTCTCAGAACTTTAATTTTTTTCTTCCTCTCCATACCCCTTAGGCATGGTTCAAGATGCGGCAACGAATATGTTTGCAGCAGCAGTAGCAGGAGGTTATCTTCCCCCTACACCGGCACCAAATGGACTACGTGGAGCAATTCCGAATCTCCTCCAGTCGCCTCCACGCCTGGCTACGGCTCCAAATGATACTGGTTCGAATCTACCCGCTGGTGGCACCACTCCTTGTACAACCAATTCCTCAAACTCTACAGGCCTACTTGAAATGCCAAGCCAATCATCACCTGGTGGCGATCAATCTCAACAACAGGCAGTTTCACAACAGCAGCTACTCCAACAGCAACAAGTTGCCGCTGTGAATGGACATTCACCGTCCCCTGCTGTGGATTCACGATATGCTCATATGGCTGCTGCTTTTGCTGCCGCTAATAATGCCATGATTGTAAGTTTCCTTGCTGAAACTTGATTTGATGGAGTGTAGCTATCATTTGAGGGTAACCTTTCTTGTCTGTAATCTGAGGTCTTGTGTGTCTAAAGACGATCATCAGTTCCTCATGATGACTTCACCGGCCATTTTATCCATGTAAACATGTGCAAATGTCAATAGTGGAATGTGATAAATTGCTCACAGGTGAATTTGACGTACAGTCAAAACTTAGGTAGCTATTGAAGTTCTCTCTAACTAGTTGACATTAACGGCAGGCAATTAACTCACTCCTGTACGTCCAGTAGTTCTTTATCGCTAGTAGATGAAGGGGCGGAATGTTGTTGATTGCTCCTGGGACTCCCGATGACCCATTAAGGATAGCTGAACAAACATTGGTAAAATTCTATTAAGAAAGGTGGTTTTAACTTTGAGGAGCACTGTTTTTTCAAAACCTCTTCAAAATATTCCGTTTTTAGGCCATTTCATTGTTTTCAAATTTTAATGGAGAAATATCCATAAATTTAATTATTTTAAGGGATAAAGTAATATAACAGGTGGGAGCTAGCAGAACAATTTTTCTCTATTAACCTCTTTTTCAATAGCATTTGTATTTTCACAAGTTCTAACTCCTCTGATATTAGAAGTATTAAATTGTAATGGTGATATCCGTTCCATCTCTAAAACTCTACAATAATTAATTTTTGTAAGCTGTAGCCTTCTTCTATGGCAGTGCGGTTGACGGACTTATTATTTTTTGAGGATTTTAATTTTATGGAGATAGCCAAGTTGTCTACAAATGTGGTCTAAATCATTATCGAACAAATCAAGTTAGTACACGTAGGTTGATTAGTATACTTGGTTTGTTGATAATCTTTGTCTCTTTCTTATAGTACCCCCCATCCAGTCACCAGTTCCCTCGGGTCTCTTCCCAGCAACCATTAGTGCAGTCGACTTATTCAATTGCAAATCCCCACCAAACTCAACAAAATCCCTACGCCCAACCGCCGAATGCTGTAGATCTCATGGCGGAACAATTGCAATCACTTTCTTTAGGTGGTGGTGGTAGACAACCACAGGCTGGTCAACCTGGAGGTCAACAACCGGCTGCCTTTTATCCAGCTGATTGGCAGGCTGCTGCAATGGCTGCTGCAGCTGGGTTCCAAACTGGTCTCCCTACTACCGGCTCATATCAGCCAGTAACTTCTGGGTCCGATGCTGCCTATGTGGATCAAACGCTTGCTCTACTGAACAGCTATGTTGCACCTCAGCTTCTCCAAACGCAGCAACCTCCCGTTGCATCCACTCATTCACCACCCGCAACAGCTACTCAGCAGGTGGGTGAGGGATTGGGCAACGAAGAGGTAGAAAAGGAGCCCACAACTAAATCCGAAATTGAAAGTGCGACCAAGGAGGAACTGAAAAAAACTGCAGGAGGGAAAGTTGGAGGGGAGGAAGGAGGCATGGGTAGTGCTGAAGAAGAAAAGCAGCAGTCTTCACCTTCTTCGTCTTGAATCTCTATAACAACTTCCAAAATATCTCTTCTCCCCTTTTTCTACTTTCTGATCATCCAACTAACCTCTCCTCCTCCCCCAATCTACTTGAAAAGGTAGCAGTAATGAAATTTGTCATGACTAACTGGTTGACTGTTTGACTGATGCAATTTGAAATCATGAGTGTTGAAAGGCCTGTATGTGTGTGCGTATGTGTGAAATGAGGAAGGCTGTCACTCCTTACACTGGCAATTTCTCTTCGACCCGTCCACCTACCTTCTTTCTCTCTTGTTTCTCCCCCCCCCCTCGCTTTTTGTTCCTAGCCCTTCCCGATCCGACCCATTTTTCTTCACTTCAATCTTGTCACCTTTTCTGGTAGCCCCGTAAAGTATGAAACTTTGTCTATGTTTCTTATTTTTTTGACGTCTTTGCTATTGTTTCTGGTTTGAGGAGTTAGGCGTGAATCCTTTTTGCAGGGTTGTTTAGTGTTAAGTAAAACTTTTAGGTCTGGTTAGTCACCAAATGTAATTAGATAAATGGAGAGGCCAGAAAAATGGTACAGGGTAAATAGTTCAGCAGGAGTAGTGCCTTGGGGAGAGTTATCGGAAACGCAAAAATCTGTAGGCACCGTGGGTGGTTTTTTGTGGTAAATGGAACTCGATGGAGGGCTTTTCTGTGGGTGTTAGGTAGAAAAATCCGGAACGTTAATTTTGGGGTAGTTGCATGTCTATTCGAATGATGCTCAAGAATTTAGTTCATTTTATTAACCCCACTTAGTTATTTAAGATGGAAGTAAATAGTCGTCTGTGCCCATATCCTAGCGACTTCAATAATTTCGTTTGAGAAATGTTCTAAGCGTGTTGGAACTAGGGTGATGCGAGGGTGTCCTAAAGTAGCCTGAACAGAAATTATCATTGTACCACCCTCATGTTGACCAGAGTCAACCAGTGATGTTGGTCATTCACACCACTGTAAGAACACTGCCAAACATTGACCCCATGACCTCTAACTTGCCAGACAGCTAAATTTGAATGGGGGAATGACATTGGCTGCCTTGTTACCCCATCATAGTCTTTTCAGATTCCCGTTGTTTTTCTATAATTCTACTGAATTTGAATGCAGTTACTGCCAAAGCTTTGGAATTCATTTACAAATTTTTGCTGGGGTAAGCAATATATTGATATTTTTCTACAAATACATTCATTGCAACTAATATCTAATTAAGCACTTGCTCTTTTAATAAAACTATCTACTGCATTGAATTAGTCTTTTATAATGAAAGTTGGTTGGTTATTTAATCAGATAAATTGCAGAATGTTGAAGGGCTAAGTCATAAATCTAATAGAAACAATAAATGCCACAAGTAGCCTTCAAAAATGGAGGTTTAATGGAGTTCCAATAGCGAGAAGCCCACTCAAACACCCCCCCCCCCTTCCAGTTGATTATAGCAGCCTTCAGCCGCCCTATCTGTTCACCCACAAACCCCGATTTCGCATTAAAAGCGCATGTTAATTACTAGGCCACCAACTTTAAATAATTTTTTAAAGTCTCTCGGATGAGGAATTTCAATCGGATATCCCATGCTTGACACGCTTTTAATAAGAGGTTAGTTTTCTTCTAAGCTATCCTTCTTTGAAGGGTGTGTTTAAACTGCAACCAATCAAGGTGACAAGCGGCCCCCCCACCCCCACGGTGCATAAGTTATTATTATTTCAAATGGCAGGCTTTATGATATTTACCATTAGCCCTTAAACTTTGACTAAGCTTCCAGCAAGGATGGGGGTACATTTATAGCAGCTAATTGATAGCAGTTCCTTAGCTGTCTTCTTGCTTCCCAGTATCTTTGGCTTTCCGTCCTTGTCTTTAGGGCTGGACATCGAATCAGGTAGGTCTTCTCCATTTCCTCCTGTAGGTTACATAGGGGGCATGTGGGTTGAGTGTATACTCCCAATTTGTGAAGATGTTTTGCCAAGCAGTCGTGTCCGGTACGTAGTCTTAACTCAGCAACGGCTTCGATTCTTGGCCAGTCGGTTATGTCGGAGAGTGCCACTGTCCACTGTTTCTCCTTTGTTCGAGCTTTAAGTTCGTTGCAACTTATCAAATTATTATCAATTTTTGTCTATGGATTTTATTATCAAACTCTTAAATGTATAAAAATTATTTTTATAAATAGGAAGCTGCCAATTTAATATAAATTATTTATTGATGCTTCTTTAATATTGAGTATGTTTCCGAACATCTGTGTTGATAATGTTTTAATAAGAATATATAACCTTTAATTTGGAGACTCTATTTTATAGTTCGTTGCTGTAAATATGTTCTCATACCGATAGGTCTTTAAATTTCTTTTATTACCAGTTGTACTCATTTTTAAAGTTCATTTTAACTGGCGGAATAAGAGTATTCCATTTTCCTATAATAACTTAGTTCGACTTGAAGACTGAATTGTACTTAACTCTATGTCAATTGTCACTGGGGTGTGCGATAGACTTACTTCCACGTGGTGCACCCTGAGCAACGTATACTCATACGGCAAAAAATTCTATTAACCGGCAGTTGACTTCTGACTTCAAAATACCATGGCACGACTGCTTGTCATATTCGACCGCTTTCACAGTACTCATCTTACCCTTTTCTCTGCCTTTGTGTCTGTCTGCCTCTTTTACATCTGTGAATCGCTCTTCTGTTCCCCACCCCTCGACTTTCTGCTACTTTGATGAACCTTCCCTCTGTGATGCCCGAAGTCAATTAAAGGGCTAATGATAGCTATCAAAACGCCTGCCATTTGAAATAAATAAATAAATGTCAATTGTCACTTTTCCTAATTAAGAATTTTCGAAGTCCCACACGGATGTCATCCATTGTCACAGACATTTATTGGATGAATAGGACAC